GGCGTCTTAAGATACGTAGGGAATCAAACGTAAAATGATGTGGGGAGTAAAAACGTGGCGTGTGACAGCGGCGTTCATTCATCGTGGCGCGGCGTCTGGCTGGGTTGGCAAGCCTGAGCGGAGTAATACTCACTCGAATGGATTCTCCTCATCAGTCTTAGCGTAGACCGGGTGAAGGGAGCACGTGTGACACTGGTGTCTTGCGTATGCGCTCTTGTATACGCCTATTTTTCCATTATATATCTGGACTTATTGAATTGAAGTGGCGTTATTGAACCTTCGGCAAGGTAAGTGCATCAATGAAACCAGATAACACGTCGTGAAGATGTTTATTTTATTTGTTTTAATGTAGACTAAATGAGTTATTTAAGCTTCAGATGCCGTGAATAACTTACTGGATTCAAATGAGAAGTATTAGATCAAACTTTTTCCGATAATAAGTTTGAAGATTATTAGTAAAGTTGGATGATAGTGCATACGGAACGAGTGATGGGAACTTTTAAGTGATGCTTGCCAACAGGTGACATGCACAGCTGTTTAGGCCTAATGTATTTCTGAAATGATAGTTTTTGTTTATTGAAGTACGATATATGAAAGACTTTATAGTATTTTTTGTTTCATAATTTTTTAAAGAAATGTTTTATAATTATTTAAAGAATCGATTTAAAGGTCTTGTTGGAAAAAATGACAAAAAAATCAAGTGAAGATATTTCTTGTTTTTTTATGCTTCATATTTACATTTGTTTGGTAGAGTAAATGAAGGAACGTGTTAGGGCAGCGCGCGCGTGCGCTAGTGGTGGGCGTGTGTGTGGTAGTGGTGGTGGTGGGCGTGTGAGAGGCGTGGGGGAGGTGGCCTCAAGTGCAAGACTCACGCCGGGTGAGGGCGGTAGCACTGACTCCAGCTGTGGTACGCCCCCACACATGATCTCCACCACATGCAACCTTTTCATTCCTTTTATATATATCCAACATTGTTTGGTCTACGGGTGCTGCAGGGTCTTGACCTCCGCTTTGTGTTCGTGTCAGAGGTGGGGTGTGTTCTCTGAGCATGCTGATGGGTTTGGATCTCTGCTGTCGATAGTACCAGTGTCTGAAAGCTATTATGTACATGTAGCCATGTGCAGTGTTTACCTCTGCTCTACGCACAGACAACACCGCTTTCAATGAGTACACGTCTTGTGTATTGTACCCCATCTTCAGTATTTGTGGAAAGCGAAGTGACACGGCAGGGTTGTCAGTTTTGTTAGTGATCCAAATGTTTTAGTCTCAGAGGATTATGACTGCTCTTGTAAGCAGCAATGATGTTTATATCCTGCTGAGAAGGGAGGAAGATAAATGAGAATGATTTTAGCAGGATTGCCAGTGAGGGCACCCGCGAGGCCTCGCTCGGCAGGTTGTCTGGCCACTGTGACCTAGACAGCTGGCATGCCTGGGGTGCTTTGGTTCCTAGGCAGCTGGTATGCCTGTGGTGCGTTGGTTCAGTTGTGGGTGACAGGTGGCACTGCTGTGCTGGTTGCTGGTGTAGGTGGCTACTGGAGTATCATTGGTACTTGGCGTTATATACTAGTGTAGGCTTTAAAGCCGGAATAACCATTAAACCTTCAGTGGTTCTTTAATTAATGGTAGCCAGTGTATTGTTGGTTTACTGGTAGACGTTCATATACATACAAGCATAGATCGTGTATGTATTTTATGTAGTAGGTGGTTCACTAGTCATTGGGCATGCATGTGTACTACATAACTGGTAGCAATGTTTATACAGTCCACTGTAGATACGGTAAAGGTGGCAGTTAAGAAAGCTTAGATGCTCAGCCCTCTCCAGTGAATCAGAAGTGTTGACGCGTTCCCGAGAGATGCTGCAGTAACCTTGCCCTCTAGGGCTCTGTGCCTCTTTGTTTTTTTGCTTGTGGTCACTTAGGATTACTGTTACTCTGTGGGGTTTGCAAGGCAAAGATTTGTTTGTTGTATGGTGAATCTGTGTTCAAAGATACCTGGTGTGTGGTGAGCATAGGGGACAGAGCACCAGGAAAGCTATGGTGACGTGGCCGTGTTTACGCTACCTCACCATTGGCCTTGAAAGGCTGGTACGAGCTGGATCAGTCTCGTGGGTTTATCCTTACACTTGTCTAGGGTCACATGTTAATGAATTGCCACAAGTGAAACGTTTTTAATACGATATTCGAGATTTAAAACGGCTATAAATTTGTGCTTGTCATTAGGTTCGATGACCCCCAGACCTCTGTTGACTTGCCACAACATTTATACATAGAGACATGTGTTGTGGAGTGGGAGCGTACACCGTTGGCACCTGCTCACGTGGACGACTCGTGTTGGGCAAGCATCTCCCTGTGAATCATCGCTCGGTCCATAGCGTGCCTGGGACTTGGTGGATGGGTGTGTGCCCTCTACTCTGTTTGTGTGTGCGCGTATGTACTCTCCCAGTTGTGTCTACAGGGTCGAGCATATGTATGTGTATGTATGTTGGGTGTGTACCTGTGTGCGGCTGTTTGTGTTTGCTGGTCTGTGTGTGTGTGTCCACGTGAGTCAGGAATTATGATAGCCCACTGGACAACATTCCAGCTCACTCGACACCCACGCGTCTTGTGGGTACGTTCAAAGAATGTTAAATACTTTTTTCTTGGCTTTCATATCTGCATTCGTAAAATGTAGTTGCGGTATGTGTAACTTGCAATAACAGTAACCCGTAGCCTTGTGAGAAGAAAATAAAAGTATTCAGAGAAGACCTTGTGGATTCTCACGGTACACGTTATCAATATTTTCTTCTACCACCCCTTATTCTTTTATTAATTTTATTACATTGTGTTACAGTTTACAGAAAACAAACACATACACACAAGCAGACACAGGTGGAAACTGAGTACCCAAATGAGCCACAGGTACGGAATGCATTAGGCAGTGATGTGCATTACAGTATCTAATGTAGATATGAGAGTCCAGTAGGCTCAGGAATCCGTACATCTGTTGATTAACGCTTAAGAGGCAGGACCAAAGAGCCAAAGCTCAACCCCCGCACGCACAACTAGGTGAGTAACACACACACACTCACACTTATCACCATACTCGCACATCATACATACATACATTATATATATAATATATATACATACATATACGCATTTCTGCATATCAGGTGAATGGGGTAGTGGATTCAGTCATTAATGCGTGAGATGGGGGGTAGTAAGGATGTAGGTGTGGCGGCGGCAGTGGAGGGAAGCCTGGGGAGGGAGTGCCACGTTAGAGCGGCAACGTGAGCCGGAGGCCGCTAGCATCGATTCCCCCCAGGCTCCACCCACCTGCCATCCGAGCCCAGGCTTCCCGCCAAAACTTGCACCCTTCCCGCCAAAACTCGCACCCTTCCTACTTTAAATCTAACGCCTAAAATTGTCCGAGAGTAATTTAAATAAGTTTGTGTATTAAGTACTATTGTATTCGAACCGTTACAGTTCGCCCTTTCAGCTACACAAAATACCCCCCCCCCCCCCCCCCCCCAACCATTGTAGCTCACGTTTCACAAATTATCAAACTAAGTCATGTGTGTGTGATTCACTCAAGATGATGATGCGTAACGTGTGAGTCAGGTGTACACCTTGAACTACACATGGAAGTTGATGGCAAGAGTAATTACGTGGAAAAATTCCTTTTAAGGCTAGTTCAGGCATCGGTGAGATTTCACCACGTTGATCAGCGGTCGGTTGGAGCAGTTGCCCTTGATGACGTGTGTCAAGACAAAATTGGCAGGTGCTGTTTTACAATATATATAACAGTAGAGTATATCTTTAATAAGGATAATACAAGCTTGGCTAGCCAAAACTAAATTTGTATTATAACCCAGTGGTTTCTGAGTGCAACTTATTAGTTCATAATAAAAGTCTGGAGACGTGGCCCCTCATAATATTTCACCGTCCACAGTTGAACTTCTTGCTGTCAGTATCCATTGGAACATGTCTCATATTAACATGTATAACGTGAGGAGAAAAGGATCAATCTGATTCATTTTGGCAATTCGGACAGAGCTCCAGAGGGGAAGGCAAGACTGGACCAGGCTCACAAACATAATTTTGCTCCTCTTGCTGCAAAACAGTGTGCTTTGACAGCCTAGTGGTACCCCCCCCCCTTAGTTATGTTAGTGATTCCTCTGAGTACAATGCGCTACATTTATTTATGAATTTGTGCAACCTTGGTGCTGAAAAATATTTACCAGAGTCAATATTGCGACAAGCCGGCCGAGTCATGTTTAACTCCACATTAAATCCAATTATAAATTCTGGACACATATTTGACAGCCTATTGTTAAACGATAGCCACTACAATGATATATATATATATATATATATATATATATATATATATATATATATATATATATATATATATATATATATATATATATATATATATATATATTGAAATGTACCCTACACTTGTTTATGGGAAGTGTATTGTTAGCACAGGTGAAAAGAGGCATCGCAGGTGCGGGGTGTGACTACCTTGTCTGAGCTGATGTGATGCGAGACTGGTATCGATTCCTTGCGTGAAATCGGGAGCCTCTGCAGTGTCTGCGGGACAGTCTTTGCATAGCTTGCGGCGCCTGGAGTTTGACACACGCAAACTAGTCAGGATCATAGGGAAGGTTAGGCGACGAGTGTTCGTGTTGACCGGGTGGGGGGCTTGAGCCATCATGATGAGCCTGCTGGACCACCACACCGGAGGTGTTACGGTGCATGGTGTTGGCGCACCTCATGTTTGCTATTAGGGACACTTACAGATGAGTACATTTGTGAGACTGCTATTCTTTGTATGGATGCTGAGCATGTATTGTTTCTCGTTGACAATATTGAGATTCACAAAGGGATTTTATTGTATCCTGTATAGGAATTAACATTGTAGTGTGTTACCTAAGATATGTAACTAATGTCATAATTTAGTTTATTGCATGGTCAGTAGGCGTAATCTGATGGCGTGTTTATCTTGTATTGCAG